GGGGGGGGGGGGGGGGGGGGGTTGTAAAGTTTACAGTATTTTTCGTATGATACTTATGAGTTAGGGTGAGCTACAAATTCTATAAAATTGTTACAAAATTCATATAGAGGAACATCTCTATCTTTTACTGTTCATTAATTTTGTGTTATCTTTCTGTATTTTTCAACCTTCTAAATATGTTTTCTGAACAAATATTCGATCAACAAATTAAATCGAGAAATTATTAAATTCCTGACATTGGTATTGGAGAATCCGGTCATTCGGAGTTAAGAGCAAATATAAAACATGTTGAATATGAAATACGTTGTTAAGAAATTTGAAGGAAGAATCAATTTTAACTCTAACAAGTACAAGTCAAAAATATTTCGGTTTTAATCTGAATTAAACAAAGAACAATGTTAAATATACACTCAAAGTTTTACATCCATTTTGACATTTCATTGTTTTCAAAAACATTGTTGGCAGGAAAGTGTGTAATTTTAAAACTGTCCAATTTGATGTCGTCACATGACATGATGTAAAAAAGACCCACAAAACTTTTCAAAAACATTGTTGCCCTTTATTTAGTGCTTTCAAAGAGAGTGACGAAACCTTTATTTGAGTTGGGATTTATCTACAATGCAATGATTGGATACATCTGACTGTGTGAATATAAATTATAAAATGTTAGTATAACTCGAAGACAAGCCAGAAATTTAGAGATAATACTTGAAAAGGCAAGATTAGAAGAAAAAAAAAAATAATAAAGCAAATGATAAAATAGAGCAGCAGCACCTTGGTTAATGAGAGCATGTCAATCATTTGCAATAAAAAAAGGTCTGCTTCACACACAAACCAAACTCATTATATGCAAAAACAAATGAGATTGAAGAATTGATCTTGGTACGGCAAGGAAACTAAGCATGATTATTGGATATAAAAAGGATATCTCCACCCCTACCTCATTATTGGGGTTTGTGTTGTAATTGTCAATCTTGTTTGAACCCAATTTTCTTTAAAAAAAAAAAAAAAGAATTTTGTAATAGTGTTATGATGAAGAATGTATAGTTAAAAATAAAGAAAAAAAAATCTGAGTTTGGGTGTAATATTATTTTATTGAAAAATATGTGGTTGAAATGGGGTTAAGTCACATTTCAAGAATATATTTTGATGAAAAAAATGAGGCTCAAACAATGGCTATACTTGAGGCTTTTGTTGCCTAGTGTTAAGAGTGTGTTAAGTATATAATCTGTACTACACTATTGTAAACGCCATTGGAATGTCAAGAAAGGCCACAAGAAGATGTTCGAAGCGCCAATGATTGAAACCTATCACCCTTGGAGGTTTGAGTGTCCTAAATTTTTAACCCGAAAATAGAAAATATTTGAATCCGCCATATGGTAATTATTAATCTCTCTCTCCCTCTCTCTCTCTCTCACTCACAGAGATTGAAGAATTGATCTTGGTACTGCAAGGAAACTAAGCATGATTATTGGATATAAAAAGGGTATCTCCACCCCTACCTCATTATTGGGGTTTGTGTTGTAATTGTCAATCTTGTTTGAATGCAATTTTCTTTTAAAAAAAAAAAAAAAGAATTTTGTAAGTGTTATGATGAAGAATGTATAGTTAAAAATAAAGAAAAAAAAAAATCTGAATTTGGGTGTAATATTATTTTATTGAAAAATATGTGGTTGAAATGAAGTTAAATCACATTTCAAGAATATATTTTGATGAAAAAAAATGAGGCTCAAACAATGGCTATAATTGAGGCTTTTGTTGCCCAGTGTTAAGACTAGGTTAAATATATAATCTGTACTGCACTATTGTAAACGCCATTGGAATGTCAAGAAAGGCCACAAGAAGATGTTCGAAGCGCCAATGATTGAAACCTATCAGCCTTGGAGGTTCGAGTATCCTAAATTTTTAACCCCAAAATAGAAAATATTTGAATCCGCCCATGAGGACGACCTAGTCGCTTTGAACAAAAAATGTTCAAAAAGAGAAGCTTGAATAACTGCTTGAAGTGATATATGAACAATGTCTCTCTTGTCATAAACGGTGGTGACGAAGGTTAAAATATATATTCCTTTTGTCTTATAAAGGTAGACATTTCTTTTTTTAACATATTATAATAGCTCCAAAAGATTAATTTCATTTGATAAGCAATCTAGTGGTCCTCCACTTGATTTCAAAGTTACTTGCACCAATCTCCTTGGAGCTATGCTCGACAAAGTTCCAATAATAATCAGAGTATGAAATCCTAGATGGTTCTATTAGCTAGAACCTATGATGCTCGGATTTGGATGGAGTATCGGTTAGGATATGTATCTAAACTTCGGATATTTTATTTTTCAAAATGTAGGATATAGAAATATGGTTAAAAAGAGTCTAAATTTCGGAAATGAGTATTAAAAATTTATACTAGAAATCTAAAAATAAAAAAAAAACATAAATTTACATAACAAAATCATAAAATTAAAATACGTTAGAAATGTCATAATTAATTAGAATTATCATACCCGCTTGAAAAATTCTAGATCCGTCCCATATTTCATATCCGTACCCATGTCATATCATGTCAACGGAAAGAACCTAAATGGGCAAAAATAAAAAATAAAAAGTATTAAGTTTACTTTAAAATTAATTGATATTAAAAAAACTTATTCACTTAAAAGTGCAAGTGCACGATATCCCTAGTAAAACTATGACTGTGAATTACGATCAATAAAAGTACATTAAAAGTTATAAAAATATTCTCATATGGTCGCATAAGCCATATAAGCATATACGCCTATGTAGACAAATTTATGATTTTCGTTGTTTTGGCCGAAACTCATAAATCGGCCCTCCATCTTATGATGGTTCCCAATTCATTCAAAAGTCGATCACTCTTTTAAAGGCATTAAGAACAACGAAAAGAAACAAGAGCATGGAAAATATGCCAAAATACGAAAGTAGAAATTAAACCATTAAAATTAGGCTACATCATTTTTTCTCTTGCCTCCTCCACTTGGGCCCCTTCACTTTCCAATTTTTGCCTTCTTCTCTCCTATTGCATCATGTATCTCAAGCTTGGAGATTTCGTCCAAAAATGCAAATCAAACTATAATCATACAATTCAAATTCAACTCATTCGAAGCACTAATCGCAAGCCCTCAATAGAGGACGAGGATAAATGTAAAAAATTACACTTGTCAAACACTCAAACTTCAACTTTGGTTAATCATCAAGCGAAATAAAACAAAATTATGATATGATAATGAAACAATAGACTAGTAACAGACTTTGTGCAAATCACTTGAATGTCCTACCTTCGTTAATATCTCAATGCTGCGTTCAAGCGAAGTTCATTTGAAAAGATAATTCAAAGAGTTGAAACTTATACATGCTCGACTCTCTGAGCGTGCGTGCGTGTTTATCCTATTCTAATTGTTAGGATCAAATCTCAATCATGTCATTTGAAAATTAAACACCATCATTTCAATAGCTATGCCAACGAGCCGAGTCGGGAAAAAAAAGCTCGGGCTTGGCTTGAGCTGGCTCGAGTTTTTACATTTTCTACTTAACGAATTTAAAATTTGTACAGTTTATACGTGTTATAAATTAAATAAATTATAAAAGTTAAAACTTCTCCTTTATTCGAGTTTGGAATAAGCTACAATTATCTTAGGTGGAGTTAAAATTGTACACAAATAAAATATTTCGTGTTCAATTTTTCTTGAAACAAAAAAAATTAAAAATTACGTATTTTTTTTAAACTAATCAATTTAAAAACTTACAATATCTTATGCTTTAATCTGTTGTAACTCTTCGGCCATTATATTATCAACTTGTTCTTGAAAACATAAATTCCGCACATTTCCAGTCCTTCAAACATATTAAAACCTTCAATATATCTTCTTTTAGTTTTAATCGTTCGCCAAATAAAACTCGACCACTTAAACTAAATGCAGTCTCCGATGCTACCGTAGACACCTTACAGTGTTAGTAGATCGCGAGCAATTTTTGATACAATTGGATACTGTCTTTTGTTAAACTTCCACCATGATAAAAGACTAAATTTCTGTAATTCTTATGGTTGTAACATACTACGAACATCCACGCACATATATCTAGCTAACTCAAAGGGAATTTCAAGATTTGCATCACTGACATCTATTACTCTAGATATTGGCGAATTAGAATTAAATGAGGGAACACTGGTATTGGTCTCTAAATAACTCCATATATTATCTGCATTTGTTGAAGTATTTCTTGAAAAAGAACATCAAGAAGTAGAATTACACTGACCTTCTTTTTCAGCGTAATAGTTATACATTTTACATAACATAGATTTTATATGCACATGTGATAATTTTACATTCATGAAATTTGAAATCTCTTTTATAGTAGCTTTTGTGCCAATTAAATTAAGTCGATGGTCCATCATCGAAACTAAATAAAAATAAAAAGGGTATGTCTTCCCAATATTTACGAAATTTTGACTCCATAGAATAAATTACATCAA